TTGACAGTGAATGCCAACAGGGATCTTTTGAACTTTCATTATTTTGGTATCCTTAGAAAATGGCAACTGCTTCCTAGAAGCATCCAGAAGGGTGTGCAACAAACTGAAATTTTGTCAGAATGACAAAACCTTCTCCACCTTTACATACTTGCCTGCAAGGTTTTTTTAATCATTTGGCCTCTATCCATAAGTGTCCACAACACCTTGATCAAGGCAGACCAAAGTATCAGCTCTTCTGATCACCCAGGAAGACCTTTTGGCAGGGGGATGGAGTGGTCAGATGTATGTTCCATGAAATATTTAGCACTGATGATGTTACCCAGTTTGGGTAATGAAACTGCAAAATGACAAGCTCAGAGAGCACCAAGAACCCCTCAAAATTTTCATAGATGCAAACATCCATTGGTCCTCCAGATTACTTCAGATTTGCCAATTCCAAGATGAGCTTGAAGAACTTCAATAATATATATTATTTTCATCCTTTCCTCAAAAGAGATATTACCTCCCATTTTAAATAATTCCAAAGGATCAGTTTTTCCAAAGGATCAGTTTCCCATGAGAATAGGAATCAGAATTTAGATTTCCTACCAAACACTGATAATTATTTTAAAATATCTAAGTGGAATTAACCTAGATGTCTCTCTTAAAATATATTCCAATCTTGAGGTATATTCATTTTTACAAGATTTTTCTTCCCTATAGATAGTAAAATTGTCATCATAATTCCATGTTATACAAACAGAAAGGTTCAAATTCATCATGAAGGTTATTTTTCCAGAAATAAATAAATAATGAAATCTGAACAAAAAAACAAGCTTGTTTTTATGTATTTCCATGGACACCATATTATTGTTCACAAAATATTAGTTGTATCACAATTTTATAACCAGAATATTTACCCCCTCGTATAATCTCCCATTGCCTGAATATCTTGAACAATAAAACTGGTCAACCATTCAAAATTACATCTTGCCAGCAATTTTACCACGTGCCTAATCTCGATATAAAAATGTTGATTTCTCCAGATGTCAGAGGAATCATATAAACATTAAACCAACATGCTTCTACCTCAGGTTTAATTTTCAGTTCTCAGTTTAGTTCTAGACAAAGAGACAGCGATGTCCTAAGCCAGTTGGCCCTTCCCAGCAAAGCCAGTTTCAAGATAAATGATTTGAATAACAAACATTAACTCAGACAAAGGCCATTGATCTTGATCCTGGACACACTGCAAAAATTCGGCAAAGTAGAATTGTTTTAATAGGAATTAGATTTCCAAGGTTTGATTCAGTAGGTGAATATTGTTCATTCAATGAAAGATCAATGCAATTCATGACATTTGAATATACACAATGAACACAGAATGCTTAGGGATTTGTTGAACAGGAAAGGTTTGAACTGAATATGAGGGGGCATAGAATAGAGTATCTTGGAATAGGGCATAATTAACTGGAACAATAAACAGTAATATTTGTCACAGCAAGATTCTGCTGCAGTTTACTGGTTGGAAATAATTTTGCGCGCTACTTTTTTGTTCATGTGGAAAAACATGCTGAATGGACATATACTTTTCTCTGGAGGCATATAGCAGCTTCCAAAAAGTGGGGAGGGAAGAAGATGACAAGGAAAATTTGGAAGTAAAAATGTGGCTCCTAACAGACCATCCAATTTGATTTAGTCCTACACCAATATTGCTTTAAAAACAAATCTAGTGAAAGATTTCCAAGTGTATTCCAAATCTAGTGAAAGATTTCCAAGTGTCTTGTGTTGTTTGGCTCTTAGCTAAGGTAACTAATTTGATACCATTTTTTGTTCTTATAATCATGGCACATATCCTAACAGCAGAGCATGGCTTTGCTCTACGGTTATGTTATATACTACTAGAGGACTTCACTGACTTGTAAAATTCAAAACAAATATCTTTTTTATATATCCTGGGGAAAATCTTTTTTCAAATCTATTGGAATTTATCAAGCAAGTAGTTTGAAGGGCCCTGCTGACTAAATGGTCATGTTTATTTTATTACTAGAAAGGCTATGATCTATTAAACATTCTTGGAATATTTATTTATTTGTATTTCATATCTCTTAACCATCTTTCTAAGTGGTGGGATTCAAATTTTTTTGCTACCGGTTCTGTGGGCGTGGCTTGCTGGCGTGGCAGGGAAGGATACTGTAAAATCTCCAGTCAGAGGTGGTATTTGCCAGATCTCTGAACTACTCAAAATTTCCGCTACTGGTTCTCCAGAACTGGTCAGAACCTGCTGAATACCACCTCTGATCTATCTCCCTCTTTGCATATTATTGGTTCACATATTATGTGAACAAATGAATCAACAAGAATGCACACTCTAACACAGTGCCAGCAACAGCAACAAATTTCCCCGATTCAGTGGAGTTTACAGTTTACAGAATTCCTATATGTGTATGTGTGAGTGTGTGTACATGTGTATGTATATAGAGGGGTCTGCATAGGTATACAGATATGCATATACAGGAAGTCCTTGACTTAGTAACAGTTCAATGTTCTGACCACCAGCACCCCTTCCAGTGGTCCCATGATTGCATTTTGGGCAGTCATATTAATGACTGCTTGCAGAATCCCACAGTCATGTGACAGCAATTTATGACATTTTTGCCCGAAACCAATGTGTACTACTGGTTTCCAGCAAAAAATGCCCACTGCAAATGGGTTTGCTTATCAACTGCTATTCATTTAACAAAAACCACCAAAAAGTTATAAAATTGAGTTGGTCACAGAGTCATAATTTGAGGGCTATACGTGTATTTGTGTGTGTACACATACATACACATATATGCATACATACATACATACATACATACATACATACATACACACATGATTACAGCCCAGCTTATTGCATCATGGTCAGCCTTTTCATTAGCAGTTTAAGCAGTTAAACTTTGCTGTTCTAGCCCATTTGAAGTCTTATGAAAGCATACCATTATTTACTTGATTATATTTTCACTGCCAAGGGAAGGGATCAGAGGTGGTATTCAGCAGGTTCTGACCAGTTCTGGTAGCAGAATTTTTGAGTAGTTCGGAGAATCGGCAAATACCACCTGACTGGCCCTGTCCCCATCTGTTCTCTGCCTCCCGAATCCCAGCTAATCAGCTGGGTCTTCTTTTGTTGCCCTGCACAGGAGAACGGAGCTGGAAAGCAGGTTAGTGGGGTGGAGAAGGAATGGAAATTTTATAGCATCCTTCCCTCATAGCTTGGTGGGCGTGGCCGACCAAGCCATGCCCACCAAGCCATGCCATGCCCACCAAGCCACACCCACAGAACCGGTAGTAAAAAAAATTGAATCCCACCACTGGAAAGGATATGAGGAATTTTCATTATCAGAGACCAAAACCACTTCACTTATCTTGGGTACTCTGGCAGTGTGCTTGCAGAGAAGTGTTGTTTATCGTTTAAGCAGAAACATGTCTTATATCCCCTTTAGTTTAAGCAAGATGGTATTATGGCAGTTTAATCCACTATGTGGATACATGAGACAAAATGATAAAAAATGTGTTTTCACATTGTTAGGAAAAAGTGTCATAATCAAAACCAAACTAAGAATTGTCCAGCTTTGTATTTTCTAAACCAGATTAACGGGGGTTGGTACATACTATATTAAAAATGGGAGCACTATCGAGCACAACAGCTGTCTTACAAATTTTGGATCCAGTTGGAGCCCAACTTACTCCCAAAATTTAGGATTAGAATTCTGAAGGGCCACATTTTTCCTCCTATAAATAACTTCAATCTGAATACTTTAAGGCCCCTACTTTTTCTTCTCCTAGTCTTTTCTTTTTTTAATCTTTAAGCAGATTTGGACTACTCTTCAACGAAGAATCATTCCTTTTAATATAAAGTCAACAGTCAGCTGCTGATTGCCTCCAAATTAAGTTAAATGGATGTAATGAATCTACCTTGGATGTTGTAGTGAATTCAGAATGCAGCTGCGGGACTTCTGTTTCTCACCAATATGTGATACCTACTGACTACCTTCTGTAACTTTCGGAGTTAAATTCAAGGTGCTGATGTAAAAATACAAATCCATATAAAACCTTTGGGACCCAGCTCCTTGAAGGAATGCCTTCTCCCTATGTGGTGAATTATTGATTGTCTGATTGTCCTCTTTTTATGGGTGGTGTCCAAGAGGCTAATGATTATCAAAAATCAACCAGGAGAAAAGTGGTACCATTTTTTGTAAAAATTCTCTCCCTGTTATAATTAGGATGGGTTCCTCTCTAGCTTGCTTGAAGATAACATTAAATACTTATTCTTGATACTCAGAATCTGTTATTTTAGACTGTCATTTGGATACTTTATTATTTAAGCTATAAATATTTGGGTTTTATTTCTTATGTTTTTACAGTAATTTATGAATGTTATAGTGGGTTATGATGCTTTGGGACAGCTATGAGTTTAGTGATGTTGCTCTGGATATTAACTGCTGTGGGTTTTGCTGGCCAAAGTGAACGGAAGAGAAGTACGTTAATAAATTAGGAGACCTGGCTATTCCTGTAGTTCTATATGATATTGCTAGCATATTAACCCAATAAAGCAGGGGTGTCAAACTCAAGGCCCAAGGGGCCAGATCTGGCCCATGGGGTGTTTAGATCTGGCCCATGGGGCCACTCTGGAAACAGTGAGGGACTGACCTGCAGTGCCTCTGCCAGTGAAAATGGAGCTCGGGAGCCTGTTTTCGTTGGCAGAGCACTCAGGCCACTACAGGTGCCCACAACATGAGTGACATCAAGCTAGCCATGCTCACCCTGGCCACACCAATCCCGTGGCCCCAAAGTCAAACACAACCCAGATGCAGCCCTCAATGAAATTGAGTTTGACACCCCTGCAATAAAGGATATAATAGAATTTGCTCTGTGTGTCTTATTCTGTGGTGTAATGCACCTAATCATATTGTAATATAAGCAGAATGTTAAATATTTTGTTATGTTCATTTAAAATGATTGTTTTTTGTTCCCTTTAGGTAAACCAGCAGGTTATGGAGGCAATAGACGTTCCTCTTCTTCTAGGGGAATAGTGGATGAATGCTGTTTCCAGAGCTGTGACCTGATACGGCTGGAGATGTACTGTGCTCCTATCAAGCCACCTAAATCTGCACGCTCTCTACGTGCTCAGCGACACACTGATATGCCTAAAGCACAAAAGGTAGCTAAAGTGTTATCAAATTTAATCTGATTATTTGTTACATATGAGGATTTTCAGCATTGCTCCAATCATGGGATGGACATATGGTTATCCAGTACCAGAAATCCAAATTTGACATCTATGGGCAGCTTTCATTTCCAAAATACTGTAGTCCTCCAATATTAAATAGATATGAAAAGAAGACACCAGAGGAGAGATATTCCATATCTCTTTATCTCATCTTTGTCTTTGCCTTCTCTTTTCTTTCTCTATTAGTAGCTGCGGATATATGATTGGTGTTATTTTGAAACATCCTGGTTTATTGTAGCAGTGCCCCACTTTTTTTTCTTAATTAGGCACATTATTTCCTTATTCCTATCTAGCTTTCTTTCTTCTATCCAAAAAGACTTGACAGTCTTGCTGAGAAGTAAATCATTGGGTACTTTAGAAATGGTTGCCCTCCACTTATGATTTACTAAGGATTTGTATGTGTGTTGATATCATCTTTTGTGTACAAATGATGCTGCCTTAGCTACTTAATGGCTTGTACTCATTCTTGAACTTTGCAAAGGATAGTTTACTAAAAGACTCTAGTCCCAACTAACTTTCATGAACTTTGTTGTCCATTTTCGTATTGCCATCACTTTTCTGCCCATGTTTATGAATGCCTGTGGCCGACCATTGTGTGACACTGAATGCTGGCCTAGAAGGGACAAGGGCTGATCCAACAGCACTCTCTATTCTTATGTTCTTTTCTTGGGTTTCTCTCCAGTGTAATTGTCTCTAACTAAGTCTCACTGGAATCAGCTGGATTTTCCTTCTGATGCCTACAAATGGGATCAAGCATTGATCTTACAAATGATTTTTATCTGAACATTTTAAAGTCAGTTTTACTTTTAGAGTCAGTAATTTATTCCCAGGCTTTAGAGTGGTCTTGAATTTAAATTAGTAAAATAATAAATTGGCTTCTTTTAACATTATTTCAAATTCATGAGGATTTACATGTGGCCTTTAGGGCAGTTTGGCTACCATTACAATAAGGCTCAGATTGTTAGCTGGGATGCAAGGAGATCTTATTATGGAAATCAACTGATGGAATAAGACCAAGGTCAGAAGGGATTGTGTTCTGTTAATACCACTAGCAGATAGAGAAGTCTCATTAGAGTAATGCCAGAAAACAAACCAGATGTTTTTACTATTTTTAAAATGTCTCAGGTATTCGTGTTAGTCAGAAACAGGGCTACATAGACAAAGTCACTTTTTAAAATTGTGCTTCTTTCTTCATTCTAATTATACTTAGTTTTCTATTCTAATGAGCACTCAAACTGACTCACCAATTTAACAAAAGGCAATAACTTTTTTTAAAAGGGAGAAAGTTAAAATAGTAATTGAAATTATTGCTAACTTATTTAAAAATTAAAAAATGTGACAAAACAGCAGCCACTGTACAACATCTTTAATCACTGAAAGGATGAAGATAAAATATCTAAAGGATTTCATTCCATTAAGTGGGAGTAATTTATTTATTAAACCTATATGCCGCCCATCTCACAAAAGCAACTAATATAGGTGAAAATTCTCTCCTAAGTGCTAAAAAGAAAGAATTTAACAAAACTGTAGGGTGGTTGGGGTGACAGAACACTGCCCAGTGAATTTCTATAGTTGAGGTGGGCTTCAACCTGGATCTCTTTAATACTGGTCCAGCACCTTAACTATTATACTGTGTTTCACTTTTTACATTATTAGTAGCTAACACATAATACTTTGTCAGGTTAAGTTTATATTCTCCAAGGAATAGCATTCAAACTCAGTACAGTATTATTACTGGACTCACATTGGTCATATCATTTCACAAATTAAACTTGTTATAACTTTGTCAGAAAGTTTGTTGCACAAGATTTTCCATTGCAGGCAAAAATAGCTGTAGCTAAACAACCAGGAGATTGGCATGGTCTCAAAGGAACCATTTTTTTTACACATTTTTAATTGATCCTCAACTATATATCCAGAAAACAGATTGTTCATTATTATAATGGGAAATTCATATGTCTTTATTTTGCATAGCAGCTTGAAATCTTTCACATACTGTAAGTGGCTTTTAAATGTTAACTCTAACAACTTTAACAACTCCCAGTCTATCAATCTACCTACCTTCTGGCCTATTATGCTATAGGAGCTGATCAGGCTGAGCCCGAAGGAGAAATCAAATGTCTCATCAGTCATGAGTCCCTGTGCATGAGATCTAAGTTCAGTCTACTTTGAATTCTTTTCTACTACTTCAGATTAATGTTAAGCACCAGAAAAATCAGGAGAGCCAGAGAGTTCAAATGGATTTATTACAAGCTTAAACTCTCTACAACAATCTGAACTGCTCACAACCAAGGGAAATTAGTGGTAAGAATAGCAGGGAATTCAAGGTGAACTGGACTTCGATCTTTTGTGAGAGCATAGGGACTTAAGACTAATGATGCATTTGACCCCTCCCTCAGGCTCAGCCTGGTCATCTACATATACTACATTCATGTTGGAAGCATCTACCAAAGCACTTTCATATTGAAAGGATAAGCCAGGGACATCATCATTGCCTATGGGGTGCCTGAGGGGGCTCCTTTAATGTCCCTGTTATTTTCCTTCTGAAATGGTACTTGTTTGCCCACTTGCATTTGCATGCTTTTGAACTGCTAAGTAGGCAGGATCTGGGACAAACTGATGGGGGCTTATTCTGTCGTGTAGCTCATGGTCTGGGTTTTGAACTGCCAAGCTGTTGACCTCTCAATGGCCTTTTGACTCAGCATCCTAACCACGTGAGGCACTGCAGCTCCCACTTCCTGGCCTAATTCCTTAGGACAGAAGTAGGAAACTCTTTTTTGCATTGTTAACTTGCAGAAAAATGTTGGAAGAGAATTTTAAGTATTTAAATATGGACTGGATTTCAATTGTGCCACATACCCCTACTTCATATAAACTAGCTTTTCCTCTTCCCATTCAAAAAATAGGAACAGAACTACTGCAGCATTCAGTGAGGCAAGGATTGTCAACAGCACTCATGTATACAATAATATGTCTTTTATTTTCAGGAAGTGCACTTGAAGAATACAAGTAGAGGAAACACAGGAAACAAGAACTACAGAATGTAAGAAAATTCCGCCCGTAAGAATGAAGAATGAATGTGCCACCTGCAGGATACTTTGCTGTAAATAATCAGACATTGGACAAAGCTAGAGTTCAATAAGTTTGATGAATTCTCAACTAATGGGCATTCTCCCTAGGAACAATGCAAGTAGACATTCCAACAAAAAGCCAACTCAGTGCTCAGATGTTTCTGAGACTGGCAGATTGCTACTGTAATTGGTCACTTCCTGTAATAAAATGTGCTACACACAAGTATGTACAAATTGTACATGCCTCACATAGACACAGTCCCACACCTCTTGTCTTCAGCAGAAAATGTAAAAGCCTTTAGAGGATTCAATTGCACTAAATTAATTTATGAACCCTGCTGTTGGAGTCACTCACCAGCCTTATCTAAGTGGAGTTTTTTTTTAACTTTTTTTAAATATTTGTACTTTTAGATAATCAACAGATTGTTTGTCTTGCAGTGTTTGATAACACTGTTTGATTTCCCTTCCATATTTGCACAGTTTAGAATTCCTAGTAGCAACAGCAATAAAGTTAACATATTCCTTTCACTACTGTAGTGGCTTTTTAACACATGAGACTCATGTTTTCATCTGACTTGGAGATCCTTATATGTTCCAAGATCCACAGAGAGTTCTTACATACATGCAAAACATTATTTTCTTCCATTGAGGATGTTACTATTCATATTGCATCCTTATGCAAATCTGTCTTTGGCCAGTGAAATTAATGGAATAGCTTGCATTACTAGAACTCCCTGTGCAAACTCCCATATCTAAAACAAGCTTCTGGGTCTAGGTTTTAAGATGGTCATTCACCTGCCTATAACAGATGAAAATAGAAATATATGCAATTTGAAGAATCTAATAATTTTTGTTGAGGTAAGCTAAGAGCACATATGAGCTCTCTTAAATTCTCAGTGACTCTTTCAGATAACTTATTCACAACAATATAAATAAATGTTTCTTCCATATAAGGCAATACATAGAAATTTAGCATATTAATCATACACATATAACCAACAGTATGTAAAAAATCTCTTTAATAGTACAATGGTGCTATTCTGTAGCTTGCTTTATGAAAGGTCTTACCAAAACAGTAAGAGGTACAAGCAAAGTAGCATATCTGAAATAAGTTGGAAACAATGGCAAAGATTAAATAGAAGGGTATTTGTTAAAAGATGCATAATTGATTTAAGGTTTCTAATTAATTAAAACATTAATATCAAAGAGTGATATGGGTACTCAAGTTACAATATTTTATTTGGTGACTGTTCAAAGTCACAATGGCACTGAAAAAAAGTGACTTATGACCTTTTTTCAGCCTTGTGACTATTGCAGTACCCCTGTGGTCACATGACCAATATCCAGACACTTGGCAACTAGCATGTCCCAGAGTCATGTGGTCATCTTTTGCAAGCTTCTGACAAGAAAAGTATATGCCAGGTTCACTTAACAACTTTAGCAAGAAAGGTCGTATAATGGGGAAAACCTCACTTAACAACTGTCTCACTTAACAATAGAAATTATGGGCTCAGTTGTGCTTGATAGGCAAGGACTACCTGTACTAATATCCAACAGAAAGGATATCTACGATTCATGGTACTGTGAAAAAGCTACAATTTTATCTTTAAAAGCACCTTTGAAAAGATTGGTTCTTTTTGGCAACAAAGAAGAAAAGTGGAGTGAGTTTCCCAAGACTCTTAAAACTAGTGTGGTTGTGATAGAAAAAGAAGACACAGAATACTGAAGCTTGACTTCTTTTGTCATATGACAACAGCAACCGCCCTTCACCATCCTTCCTAAGATAGCAGCATTCAACCCAGTACAGTACTACCTTACTTATATGGCAATATGCTCAGGAATTTTAGTTTAGGGCAAGCCAGAATCAAATATTAGCCACTGAACTTAATTTAATTTCAACCAGTGATATTTTAATACCTTAGAACTGGAAGGAAACTTGGAGAGCCTGTAGTCTACAGTGTCCTCAGTTCAGGATGCAGCCCTAGAAAGTGGAGTTCTAATGCCTAAATGCATTGAAAAATGAAATATGTGGCAAAATTTGCTTTACCTTTTACTGGTTTTAGTTAACAATGCAAAGTGGTGCTATTGTTCTACTTGAGAAAGTACTTGAATAACAAAGACACAGAACAAAACATAAATACTTTTTTTAAGATAAGCCAATTGCACATGTAGAGATTGTACTTAAAACTGAAATATGTTTAGCCATAACTTTTCAACTTTCCTATGATTATAAAAAGGGAAATTTTTTTTTGAACTGAGTGGCTAGCCTAATTTAAAACAAGAAAATTAAATTTGGAATGAACACTACTGCTACATATATTGACTCTTGGGAAGTAAAGGATGATATTAAGCAAATACTTAACTTCCATTTGTTGCAATGGACATGGTATAGATCTGGGATAATTAGATATTGCACTGCAAAAAATACTGCTTTCGGTCCCAATCCAGCACATAAGGTGTGAGTAGAGCTTCAAGTATGGAACTCCTTCTCTGGCAGATAGAAAAAGGATTTGAATCTATTGCAGAGGTCTTCAAACTTGACAGCTTTAAGATTTGTGGACTTCAACTCCCAGAATTCCTCCTCCAGTCATTTTAGTTCAGGAATTCTGGGAGTTAAACTCCACAAGTCTTAAATTGCCAAGTTTGAAGATACTTGATCTGCTTATCGTCTTTGAGCAGCAGGTTGGACTAGAAGACCTCAAAGGTCCTTTCCAACTCTTGTTATTCTGTTATTCTGATCACACTTATGTGGTGGGCCTATCAATTATCACAACAAAATGTTTTCAGTTCACACCACATCTATGTCTCTCAGTTCAAATTTTCTGTCCTGAAAAAGATTATATAGAAATCCATTTCAAACTGGGACACACAAGAAAAAAAAAAGGGACAGCTCCACAAGAAAGAGTTGAAAATATATGGCTAATATTTTATGGAGCCTAAGTTATGTATGCTTGTGTGTTTGCGTGAGTGCACATGCCTGTAGCTTGATCCATGTATATGATTTTAAATGGTAGTTTCCATAAACTTTATCTTGTGAAAAAAAATATATTTTAATTTTCAGGGTTGTTCTTTTTCAGTGAAAGTTAACCCAATTAGAGATTATTTGAATCTAAGCAGGAAAATGTTTTTTTGTATAAAATATAAGCATTTATCCATTTTTAAAACTACTTTTAAAGCAGAAGTCCCATCCCACTGATTTGGGACAAAGACTTTTTATATGAAATGTGACTATACATTTATATAGGACTGCTGTCTTCATCTGAAAATAAATTGAATAATTCATTAAACAAACAAATAAATGAACCAACAAACTGACTCCTCTTTTAAAAATAGTGCTATTTCTATGCAAAACTATGGCATATATATTTTAAAGATCATTTAAACAGACATTCTATTATTTTGGTTGCAAATAGGCACTCTAATATAAATGCCTGTAGGTTTGGGGTTTATTTTTAAAGAGGGATCTGATTTATTATTATTTTTGTCAGAATGTTTTAGTTATTTAATAATTCGCAAATCTCCCTTTATACATTTTTTGCAGAAGTAATTTATTTCAATTAAATCATAGTAAATCATACACATCACATTTTGCTCTTGAAAAAGAAGCAGCTCTATCTTCATACCATGTTCATTTTTATTTTATCACATTTTTGTTCATCATAGCACTACAAGCTTTATCTTTGTTTAAATACAGCATCTTATGGTCATTTTAACTTGATTTTTTACATGAAGAAAGTTACAAATACAATACAGATACTACTCTATAAAACAACAATGGACAATGTTTTCATTTGGCTGAAAGATCTAAGGGTAGATATAGATAGATAATTTCTCCTCACCCCCTTCTATTCAAGTAAATTGCAGCTAATAACTAGTAGCTATTTCTTACTGAATGTAGATTTCAATTTAATTGCAATTATGTTTAGCTGACCTGGGACAATAGATTTTCACAGGTGTGAAGATAGAATTATAGAAGTAACATTGCCCATAAGAAAACATTTTTTTAATGCTACAAGTTATCCTACTTAATGATTTTAATTGGGGCCTGACTTCTATCACTAAGTGAATCAGTCATTATACAAAACGTCTTGTGACCATTCTACTAAGTGATGGCAGTTCCAGTTGTGGTCATTAGGTAAGGACTGAATTGTCATTAGGCAAGGATGTCGACTCTCCTGCCCCACCACACTTGTTTCTGTTTTAGTATCCCTCATCTGCCTATGTCTTTCCCATCCCTGTCCTTTTGGTTACCTTGCACTCTGGTCATCACTGGAGATCTCATGAAGAGCCAGCAGCTGCCTCAGCCCAATAGCAGGAGAAGAAAGATATTGAAGGTCAGCTCTGTATGGCAGGAGTAGGTGACAGCATGAAATCAAAAGGGCAGGAAGTAGTCAAGTTGGATTTGAAGTGCACGCTGTGTCTGTTATGGGCAGGCAAGCTGCCAAGTGCTCAAATTTTGATCACATGATCATGGGATTCATGTGTTGCAACAGCTGTACCTTTGAGGACCAGTCAGAACTACTACTTGTTCAGCTTTATCATAACTTTACGTGGTTGCTGAACAAATGCTTGTTAAGCGAGGACTATCAGTACTGCTTGTTATTCCTCTAGTTTTCATTAGAAAGCTCCTGGGCCAAGGACAAACATTTTCAAAGCACCATCCTGGAGATGCTAATATAATTTTCTAAGAAAATGTATTTGGCATCTCAGTTTCAATTTTTATAGAATTACTTCTTACATATAAAAAGTTTGTTGGAAGATGAACCAGGGCTCTATGAGCACTACATTTGTTGGAAATAAAGAATTCATGCACTTATAGGAGAGAAGCCGAGATCATGTGGTTATACTACAGGTTAAATGTTACAAGCTGCAAGAGGACAAGACAGCAAAATATATACTGGCAGAGCTCGCTTAACAATTGCATTGTTTAGTAATTGCTTCAGGTTACTACAGCACCGAAAAAGTCATTTTACAACCAGTCCTAGCCAGAGGTGCACTGCTACAGGTTCACCCAGGTTCAATAGAATCGTTAACTTGAGCTAGATTCCAATATGAACAATATAGAATTTTTTTTCACAACGGTTGTTACTCTACTATATTTGCCACTTTTTTTCTGTTGTACTGCATAGTGGAGTGTTGATACTGCCCAACTAAACATCACTATCAATTAACTTTCTAAATAGATTTACTTATGAGTGTTTATCTATTACAGAACCTCTAAATGGTGCACTCAGAAACTAAAAATAAATAAATAGAAAACAACATGAGGAAATAACTGAAACATATGAAAGAAGGGTGGATGCCTTCTTAAACGAACTGATGAAATTATCTACACTAGCCTTTCTTGGATAAAATTTCATTTAGTAAAACAAGCAAGTGAAATATTATCCAAAAGAAGCTGAGTCACTTAAGTCAAATAAATAAATTTATTTAGAGTCAAAGCTGATTCATATCAGCACTAAATGACAATTTGGCAACTTCAATATATTAATCTCTTCTATGTGTCAATACCTTGCAAATTGTGGGACATTCTCTAGATGGTGGGGGCAGGAGAGAGGGATTTGCATAGTATTTAAGATGTAGGAAAGTTTCATCTGAACCCAAATAATTCATCAGGAAAAGTGGTTTGTGGATTGCAATCTAGACATCTGTTGGTTAATTATTTTTGTTCAAAACTTGAGAAGGAAAAAAAAGCAACACATCATTGCTTTTTTGTTTACAATATTTTGCTCTGCAAGTATAGCAATAGCACCTAGTTATTATACCAATTGGAAGACTTCTCTGCTAGCCCTGATGTTTGAGAGAAAAGTTCATTCGTATCACTGGTTTTGTGTGCCTTGTCTTAAGTACTGTTGCTTTTTTCTTCTTCTTGTAATCATTCCATTAATTTAAACACCTGTTTCCGGACTATGTTGTAATTTAGGTTTATTTCCCCTTGCAGCCCCAATCCCAAAGCGCTCCACCGAC